CCAACCCGGAAGTGCGGGGCGCAGCTTCCGGTCCGGTCCTCTCCCCCTCTTCCTCCTCTTCCTCCTCCTCCTCCTCCTCCTGTTTCTGCCTCCCTCCCCTCCCCCTCCCCCCCTCGGAGCGGCTCTCCCAAAATGGCGCCCTTGGACTTGGATAAGTACGTCGAGATAGCGCGGCTCTGCAAGTACCTGCCCGAGAACGACCTCAAGGTGAGGCGGGAGGCCGGGCGGGCCTGGGGGGCCTCCCTCGCGGGCCCTGCGCGCCGTCGACGAAGGGCCAGGATGGGGCCCGGGGGTCGCCCCTGGGAGGAAAGGAGCGAGGGAGCGGGGTCCCGCATGCCAAAGGGGCCGTTAATGTCGCCCAGCCCCGCCCAGATGGGCTCCACCGAGCTCCGCTTTCCTCCCTTGATGGGCGGCCTTCTTTTTGCCTCTTCCCGCCTGGCCCACGTCCCTGGGATTTCCTCGTGGTCCCCCTTCCAGGTTGATCTGAGCCTGCCTCGTTTTGTGTGTGGGGGGGATCAGCTGGGTGCATTTTGAGTTAGCTGTAGAGAAACGGAATGAGTGCCCAGGAAAGGGGCAAAACGTGTGTTTATTGGTCTTGGCGATTTATACTTTGGGAGGTAAATGGGGGCTTGCTCTCTGATGGGATATTGGCGATATGCAGAAATCCTGCAATGACCTGAACTCTTCTGTCCTTCTAGCGCTTGTGCGACTACGTCTGTGACCTGCTCCTAGAAGAATCTAACGTGCAGCCAGTTTCTACTCCCGTTACCGTCTGTGGTGACATTCATGGACAGGTGGAATTTCCTATGGACTGTACTTTTGATAGTGTTTTCTCCGACACCAGAGCTTTAAAGAGAACGCAACGATTAGCTTAGGGGAAGCAGGAACGACTACTGGGTGTGCCAGAGGCAGACTTGGGTGAAGAGAGAGCAGGCTTTGAGCAGGAGGAGGGAATGGCCTCTCTGAACAGCCGCAGTGGCAAAACAAGTGTTTTTCCCTTACGCAGCATTGCAAACGCAAAACACAAATGTTACCATTAAGTAAATTTTGGAAGGCTATCAAGGCCCATAGCTCAAACAAAGGGTGCTAGAAGAGTACATCAGACAAGTGAGACCTTGAGCTAATTGTAGAGAATTTCTTCTGAGAATCCCAGTCTCTGCTATTTTCCTCTTCCTCCTAATTCTGTATTTTCCTAATGATCATTCCATGCCCTCCAACTTATATCTTATTGGGGTAGTTTTCCCTTAAGGTTTTCATCCATACTTCTTGGAACCTTGATTTTCCCAAAACCTCAATTTGTATCTCATTTTTGCTTATCAGTAGTGCCATTTTGGGTACCTAAACAATGCCATGCATTACTGAAAAAGAGGTAATTGTAATGTTTCTCTTGTGCTGGTGGATCGACTGCTATCAGATGACCCTATGGTCAGTTTTTAAAGTTTTTAACTGTCATTGGGATTGTAACTTCTTATCATTAACCGCATGCACATTATTTTGTTCAGGCTTTCAGAATCATTTCTTGTTTGTTTGTTTTTTAAGGGTCACCTTTACAATCCTATGAGAGTTCAGAATAATTTCAATTGATCGTTGGAATTTGCCTATGTTGAAATATGTCTTTCTTTTTGCTTTTCAGTTTTATGATTTATGTGAATTATTCAGAACTGGAGGTCAGGTTCCTGACACAAACTACATATTTATGGTATGAACAAACGTAGAGGGGAAAAAGAAAAAGAGCAAATAGCGTTTGAAATGCGATATATTTTTTGTGATGTATCAAAGGGGAGGACAGTTTGTGGTTTGGTTTTGTGCCTGAGAACACCGCTCCTGTTCTTTTGCTCAGTGCATATAGTTTGAAAAAAGGTGCTCTGGCTTGGACTCCGAGCATTCTAATAGTGCTTGGAGAAATACACAGTTTTGTTAACCAGGTGTTTGGATATTTATATACCTTGTATACAAGTAGTGATATTGAGAAATAGTTGATGTTAAGGCAGAAATGCTTAGCTTTGGGATCTGAAGAACTGCAGCACAATCTTCTGCCTGTTTATTTTAATACAAGCCCTGCTCACTTTGATTACATATTCATAAAGTTGCAGCCTGAGCACATCATTGTCAATTAAATATAGTAAAGTGTTGTTTTAACTTCCAGGGTGATTTTGTAGACAGAGGCTATTATAGCCTAGAGACGTTTACTTATCTTCTTGCCCTGAAAGCAAAGTGGCCTGATCGGATCACACTTTTGCGTGGGAATCATGAAAGCAGACAGATAACCCAAGTCTATGGATTTTATGGTGAGTTCCCTGCCGCTGCTCCTCCACCTATTTTTTTCATTATAATCAGCATAAAACTGTCACGATTTAGCCTGCCTCTCTGGTGGCAGGATTTTTTTTTTTTTTGTTAAGGGTTATAGAAAAGGTTTTTTTCATTGACAACTAAAAGCAAGCATAAACCTCATAGTTTCAGGAACCTGGAACAGTGTGAATTTTCAGCCTGGTATTCAAGGATGGAGAAATGGTAACTAATAGAACGTGGCTTTCTTTATCTCCCCCCCCCCCAACAGATGAATGCCAAACAAAATACGGTAACGCAAACGCCTGGAGATATTGCACTAAAGTCTTTGACATGCTTACAGTAGCAGCGGTAAGTTTTTCATTGTACTGTTTGAGAAAAATGGTGATTGTGGTCTCTTGTCTCCTCTGAGGCCAGATAGCTTTTGAATTTCAAGTCTGACGCGAGTAAAAACCATTCTTCTGTTTTCCTGAAGTTGATAGATGAACAGATCCTCTGTGTGCACGGAGGTCTCTCTCCAGACATCAAAACACTGGATCAGATCCGAACCATCGAGCGCAACCAAGAGATTCCACACAAAGGAGCTTTCTGTGACCTCGTCTGGTCTGACCCAGAAGATGTTGACACCTGGGCCATTAGTCCTCGAGGAGCTGGTTGGCTTTTTGGTGCTAAAGTCACCAATGAGGTAAACTCCAAACAAATTCACCACACGTTTATTTTGCCTCTTTCCTCATTCATGAGTCTTGCAGCCAATCTGATTTGCATTCAGAATATTGTCTGAGCAACTGGTGGCTTGTTCAACCAGCCATGGTCGCCCAAGTTTAATACGATATATAAAACCCACCCCTAGTTGGTGCTGTAAATTCTAACCCTTCCTTTCTCTTTACCTTTGACAGTTTGTCCACATCAACAACTTAAAACTGATCTGCCGGGCCCACCAGCTAGTACATGAAGGTTATAAATTTATGTTTGACGAGAAGCTGGTAACCGTATGGTCTGCTCCCAACTACTGCTATCGCTGTGGAAATATCGCCTCAATCATGGTCTTTAAAGATGTAAATACAAGAGAACCTAAACTCTTCCGTGCTGTCCCAGATTCTGAACGCGTCATCCCCCCGCGAACAACCACACCGTATTTCCTCTGAAATACTGCCTCTGGCCCTTCCTTTCTTTGTGACATACATCCTATCGAGCACTTTGCTGCTGAAACGCCTTTTTATTTTTAAATTATCTAAATGTATTGTATATGGTCTGTAGCATTGCATTTCTTAATGTCCCCTTCCCACGCGTCTCCTCCTTTCTACGTCTGTAAGAACGCTTTTGAAACGTCCCACAAGCACTTAACTTGTCGTTTTCTAGTGCTTATGATTTCCTGTTTTTGTTTTTAGGGAAAACTCTGATTTCCCTTCAAAATAAAATCAAATAAAAACAGAGCAAGACATCAGAACTAGTCTGATCTCCTTATTTCATTCAGGAGTTGGCTTTGGGGATCTTTTTTTTCGATAAGTTTTTTAAGAAATTTCAGCAGCAAAGTTGAATTAATGTGCATGTTGGGACTTTGTAAGTCCAACTACAGTGCATATACTCAAGCTGTAAAGGTGGGCTGGCCTTGTTTATATTTTAAGTCAGAAATAAGTGGTTTAGAAAACTGCCCCTTATTTTTCTTTGAGCTTTGTTTTTATTTTTAGGATTCAAAGTGAAACAGAAAGCCCGTTACAGGTATTTGAATTTGTACATTAAAATAATTGTTCTGATTTTTCTCAGGTACCTTGTATTTTTAATAAAGTAATAATTTTGAACCCCTGCCTCTAGGTTAAACTTCAAAATAAAACCTTACATTGTTGTGAATGAATGGCTTCATTTACTACTCTTGACTAAAGCAGAACACAAACGCAATCGTGGTTTTATCATGGATGTTTTGTAAAAACATTTGGGCTTTTGATTCTGATATGCTGACCCCAAGTTAAGAAAGCTTTTGGTCTTTCTAGATATAAAAGCTAGATATAATATTTTGCCCTTGGCATTATTGCGGGAAAGATATTTTAAGATCCCATACGAGCAATGTGTTTGTCCAGATGGAACTGGGAATATTTAAACAGTCCAACCCATAGCATCTCTAGGGACATTTTACTTCTGCTTTAACAGCACCCTGAAAGAACAACATTTATATGATTTTACTTTTTTTACATTTCAAACTCTCCACAACAGCAGTGTATTGTACAGGGGCAGTGAAAATGAGCCACAAACTGATACAAGGTCTCCCATAGTTATATCTCAGTTTACATGCCAAACACCTTGATGTTATTCAATTTATTATGCTATTGAGCAGTATTCTCTAATTCTGGCCTTTGGCCAAGATTTGTTTGCATGTGCCAAAACATTTGGCCTCTTAAATACTGGATATTTTCCCCCTCTCTTACAAATTGTTCCAGGGTCTTCTGGGAGAAACAATACTAAAGAAATCAATGAGATGCTGCTGATCGGAGACCCACGGTCGGCAGCTTAGACCTATTTTGATATACCTCCATAAAATTAGGAGTGGAAATACCAGAAGGGCTCCTCTTGTTGATTTGGGACTTGTAATTTTTTTCTGAATAATCATGTGCAAATTATTTCCTGCCCAACTTCAGATTAATTTGGGCAGGGCAGTTGACTTCCTGTGAGTCAGCAGAAGCCCCAAGGCGCTTTCCATTCTCCCAGTTTCTAATCCTGTGGCTGCCTTCCACAAAAGGGCCAGACTTGCTTACAGCTAAGAGCTATGAAAATAATATCTGTAATTTGTGGTGATGATATTGAAGGTTTTTGAGGCTGAATTTGGCATAAATGTAAGGCCCTATATATCCCCTTTAAAAATTAGAAGCAAAACGGGAAATAATTTTGTGTATGAGCACACCAGATAGGACGGCCTGCTTTTTGCAAACCTTTTGAATATGCTGAAATGTCCACTGCTGTGTGCTAAAGACGAAGCCGCTGCCTTTTGAAATATGTGGTCTGCTTTTATTCTTACTGAGGGAAACTTTTCCTTCTAATTAAAGCAGTGAACCTTAGGAGCTTTGTAATGCTCAAAAGCATAGAAATTCTTGGATTGAAATGTGAAAGGAGCACCAATCTGATATCTTTTTAAACTAACTTGAAAGGTGGACATCTCCATTCCCCTGCCCCCAGACTTCAGTTTAAATCCCAATTTTTGGTCATGGTGTGTGTTTTATAAGATGGAGCATTTTAATTCTTCATAACTGGTGAAATGCATTTCCAACTTGAGGCCTTTAATATAACAGGAGTGTGGCCTATTTAAAAAAGTGAGAGTTGTGTTTGTAATCCATCCTTCTCCTAATGGAGGGAAAACTTTGGCATGGGCAGAACTGACATACCTTGCACACCCTTTTTATTTATCCATGTGGAAGGAAGCAATGGTTTTGTAATTATATATTGTATGTATTTGTAATATGCCTTTTATCAGTGTTTTCAAAGGTTGGTGTTCACAGGGAACCCTTCACAACCCAGACTCATCACCATCCATATTGTGGAAGAAATAGGGAGAGTTGAAGAAATTTTACTGCCCACCTTTTCAAATCCAGTATCAGCTACCACAAGACCGTCCCTTAGAAAACTTGAAATACAAGCATTTTTCCCAGAGAGCAGGTAGAAATCAGGGGGGCCCATTCAAAAGTCTTTTTAATGACTTTATTCACAAAATAAAACCCATCAAGAAATCAAGGTGCTGTTTAACATGCCCTGAAGTTAAGAGACACAAAAGTGTCCCAGCCACCTTAAAATGCACACCTGCCTCAGTCACTTGCTTCTGAGGGGTTTCCCACCAAATTCTCCCCCCATATACTCACAAGGATTAAAGCCACGCAGGGCTCTTGGCAGAGCCATTTTTACTTGCTGCTGCACCACCAGCATCTTCTAGGCTGCCTCATCAGGACAGTGGCTGCCCAGAGGGGTGAGGGGGATTTTTGGCTTCCCAGGAACATTGCAAGGACTCTGGGGAACCACTTCAAGCTCTTTTGGCCTTTGCCTTGGTGGGCAGACTTGGGTGACCTGCCAGATCTCTTGGGCTGATGCTGCTTCTTTCTTCTAGGTCTCTTCTTCCTCTGTACTGCATCTTCTACAGGTGGGTTCTTCATTCTTCTCTTCTTCCTTCCTCTTCCTATCTTCCATAGGTAGATTCTTCATTCTTCTTCCTTCCTCTTCCTCTTCCCTCCACTGCTGCTGGTCTGACAGCTCCCTTAACCCGCAGCCCCCTTTTATACCCTTCTCACCCCAGGCCAGCTCTCTGCCGATTGGTGGCACCCATCTGGCCCTCACTGTTTCATTGGCCCTTAGCTGGGTCATCTCATTGGCCTCTGAGCCTGCGCTCAGGCCAATGTCCTGGTTTCCTCAGGCCTCTTCCCATTGGCTGAAAACGAAGAGCCTCCAAACCTCGCTGTCTGCCCATAAGCTTAGAGTCTCCTCTGATGATTTAGTGGGATGTGAAGGGTTTGGGGGCAGCGATGGGGAAATAGCTTACCTTTGCCCTTGGAGGCTGTTCAAGATCGGCACAAAGGCCTTCAGTAACAACTGTAACAATTATAAGAGTCTGTCCAGGGAAAATTGATGTGGAAATAATTCTAATAAATGATCAACCCACCTCACAGGGTTGTTGTAGGGAGAATAGGAGGCAAGAGCATTATTTAAGCCATCTGTACAAAACAAAGGCAGGGTATTATTATTATTACTATTATTTCTGCTTTTGGCACAACTCTTTTTCTTGACCGATATTTGAACCTAATACTGTATCCTTATAGCTATCTGAAACTCTATCTCTTGCAGAATATAAGAGGGAAATAGTTGGGTTAGCTAACTCTAGACTTCGCCATTATGTTAAATCATCGTTTATGAAGCAAGGATGAGCTTTTAGGCTGAGTTGTGTTGACGGCCGAACATAACATCTGTATCCGTAATACGATGTCAGTTGACCAGACAGGAAGTGAGTAAACCAAATGCTGGACCGAAATCTCTACCAGGATCGAGATCTTTAACCCCCACCTTATTTAGGGTGGGATTTCTAGGTGGCTGGAGTCTTCACTAGCCTGGAAACTGCATTCATTCAGTCTCTGAACTAGGGTTGCACAGTATGCTAGAAGTTTAATTTAAGTCCAATGCTTAGCTGGGGATGCAAGTACCTTACAGACGAATATATTGCAATACAAAATCAGGCCATATTTTAAACCTGGAACTATTAGCACCCAGTGACTCAGAAACTTCTGAGCTTTAGGGTGATCCAGCCCGTCATCAAGCGAGGTGAAACCTGGCGCAGAGAGTTGCGGGCTCACCATCTTTTGGGGCCTTTCGGTCGTATTTGGATTCCGATTTTATTTTTACCCACGGGCAAACATGCTTCACCTTGTTGTCTATCCCTCTGATCTTTTGATTTAAGACAGCCCTTTTCCGCTTGATGGTGCAGGCATCGTTTATGCCAGTGTTTCTCAACCTTGTCCACTTTAAGATGTGTAGACTTCAACTCCCAGAATTCCCCAGCCAGCATGGCT